ATTCCTTTTTATTTTCTTAAACACATTTTCAAATCCAAATTCAATTCAAATTTAAATCCTTTTGAAATTTTGATTAAACCCAATCATCACAAATAACTATGCAGCAGCATGTATGCACAAACATGTAACTGGATCTTATAGTTGGTTTTAACTTTTAACAAAGTTATTACTTTTCTAAATTTAAATGCTCACAAAAAGGCATAATAATTCAAATTATCCTATTTTAAAATCATGCAAATTTTAGGGTGTTACACCATCTTCGTGCCGTCGCGGGATCTGGCCGCTCTACCTCCATCTCCTTCGCCGTCGCGGGATCCCCCGGCCGCGGGCGCGGCGAGGCAGCCCCCGGAGCGGTAGCCCCAGCATGGGAGACCTAGCCACGGTGCCCTAGACGAGTGGCCTCGGCGTGGTATCCCCTGCATCGTCGACGCCCCAGCTCGAGCAGGTCCCAATGCGGCGTCCCCGGCGCTGCCGACGCGCCCGCGCCGGTGGCCCAAGTCCACCTCCACTGGGTTTGGCAGCTTGCGGGACCTCGTCGCCGACGGCGCGCCCACAGCGGCCATGGGCATCGCACATCGGGAGGACGGAGGGCAGAAGAAAGGGATGAAAAAAATTGAACTGACAAGTAGGCCCACAGTATTGGTGATGAGTATAGGGGAACTACTAGAATAACGCCTTCAATAAAACTCAGAAACAATATTGGTGGCCACCAATATAGCTATATTGGGGAGATGGATTGGGAAGCTGCTGGAGATGCTCTAAGCTCCAGTCGGCCACCGACCAGTCCATAGCCGGGCTCGCTAAGAAAGCGAAGGGTGCTCGTTTTTCCTAAGCCAGGTCGAGCTAGTGCTCGCATCACCTCTTACCCATGGATGCCCGTCGCCTCACCTCGCGTCACTCCTCGCGACCTCGCCTGCTGCTTCGTCGAGTACTATGCCGAGCCGACGAGCTCCTTTGGGCCACCGGTGCCCGTTGCACCACGTCTTGGCTGGGGTGCAGCATCAAGGGCGCATCGGGCAGGACATGCCGAGCCACCGAAGTTGCCGTCTGTGTCGGGGTTGCCGTTTATGCCGGGCAAGTCACCAGGCCACGCCGGGGTTGCGCCGTGCCGCCACTAGCTGCGCTTGCGCCACCACCGGCTAATACTGCCAGTAGCAGAGGAAAGGGCACGGCAAGCCGTCGGGGCACGCGCGGACTGGCTCGTCTATGCTATGAGGGCCGTGCATCCTCCGGGGACGCCGTTCATGCCATGCCGCCACTACGCTGCCTCCGTCCTTGATGACTCCAGTCACTCTACCACATGCGCGCGACACCACCGGACCACGCTCGATGCACCACACCCTACGGAGGAGCACGAATCTGCTGGTCGAAGCCATTTTCAGCACGCACACCTTTCGGTTCAGCATTCAAAGTCTCCGTCTTCTATTTGCAAACATATATCGAGATGGATTTTGTGCAATGTAGGAATGCAGTATCAGCATAACATTCTGTTCAGTATCTGTGCTTTTAGTGGTACGTGACGTTCCCATCGACAACGAGACGTCTGTTGTGACTTCGTTAAATATCAAGGATTTATCGTCCCAGTCTTCGAAGACGTTTATAGGGGTAGGCCGGGTTTGCGTGCGTGCGTTTACAGGAGTGAGTGTCTGATGAGTTGTACTGTGTAATCGTAAAAAAAAATATGAATGCCAGATCTAATTTCAGCGTTCAAAGTCTTGGTCGTATTCTCTGAGGATATGGAAACACAGGATCCGAGACAAAATTTCTTACTGTCATACTGTTGTGATTGAACGTGTAGACCGGGCCATTTGGGAGTTGGGACCCAAATACAGTGCTATCGCCTACCGTGCTGGGGATGGCAAGGCTCGCTGAGTCGTGGTCGTTGTGTAGTGGAGAATTCCGGGGTGAGTACTGCCAAATGGCGACTCGTTACTGTCACCGATTGTAGACGAATGGGTGCGTCTCAGCATGTGGCAAGTAATTCAGACATGCAGCGACAGTAAGAAAAAATGATAATAAAAGGGATTAATCAGCGATATGTGATAGATTAATCTGTGAGAAAGATTGTGGATGTCGACAAATCAACGTCAAAGAAACTAGAACTCCTGAAGAAACAATTCCCTTTTCTCCTAAAAGAAACATTCTGTAGGAGAAGTCATGTGGTGCTTCGGGCCTTTTGGGATCCAATTCTCAGGATGTAAATGGATGGAATCGACTCCGGATATCACACTTTTTACCACATTTTAATTTAAATACGAATACGGATACGGATTTTTTCGAATACGAATACAAAACAGATGTCTCAAATTTGGATTTTTATTTGGATATTTACTCAATTGAACTCAAAGTGTATACTGTTAAATTTAACATATATGAATAAAATTTTACTACTAGTTCATCGTTAACTGAAGTTAATTAAACTGCACTTCTAATAATCTCCAATATCTAAGTAAAATAAATTATAATAGATAATATTTAATAAAATAATAGGTCCAGTGAAGAAATTCAAATAAAAATTGTAGAAAACAAATAGCCATTTTGTTTTATCAATATTCATGGAATTACAAAATTACTACACAAGTAGAGGTTAAATTATTTGTGTATATAATAGAAAAGGATAGCTCATAAAATAAATATAGTTATTATTAAATATTTAATAATTAAAAATGTCAATGAATCAATCAATATTATATTTATATACATATATAAATATTTATCATAAAATATAAAATATATAAAATAATTTACATAAAAAAATAAATGAACTAAAGTATTAAAATAATTTTAAAGAACAAATATATTAGGTTTAAACTAAATTAGAAAAATACTAAAATTAATTCAATTTTTATGTATCCTAATAATTTTAAATTATAGTGCTAAAAGTTATTTATAGATATACTATTAAATGGTTTGAATACATCATTATTAACAATAAAATTAAATAACTGGTTACTTGTTATGAAGAGAAAACTTTAAAATAGGTTCATGGTATCTTGTTTTCTTTGCGGACACAGATACTACCAGATATCGGCGAATACGGATTTGAAATCGGATAGAAAAAAAACACTGAAAAATGAATTCAGATATGTCCATTTAGTTACCGGAAACGGATACGAATACGAATATTCATATTACAGGTTTTAACGGATACGGATATTGGATAATTCGCATATCCATTTTTATTTTCCGTCCTTATCCAATTAAAGATATATGGCGCGCCGAATCGGCGGCCTCCCAGATTGTCCACGTACGCTCTATTTAGGTGGTGCGTTAGATCAAAATTCCACGGCTCAGATGAGGCGCGTCACAGACAGCCTTCATGCATCCCCTCCGTACTACCGTCAGCTAAAAACAAGTCGGACAACTGAACATTTAATGCCTCTCCTCTTTACCCACCGACCATGCGCCGACCATGCTTGTACGCTCGGCACTGGATGGGCCACCGACCATGCACCGACCAGCATGGCTCCCATCCCGTCCCGTCTCCGGTTCTTATCCCATCCCCATCTCCTTTTCTCAGTCGCACATGCACCCGAACCCGCCGCCTCCAACCCTACCCAGACGAGCTCCACCTCGCCGCCGGCACCGGTCCCTCCCCCGCCGGCCTCCCCCTCCTCTGCTCCTCCCTCCTTACCCCTGCAACCCTAGCCCCGACGAGCTCCACGACCCTGTCACCGCCGCAGCCGTCGGTCGTCTCTCTGGCGTCGGCGGCCACCCCTCCCTCGTCTCTCCGTCGTCGGCGGCCACCCCTCCCCCGCACGGCTCCCCCTCCCCTACCCCTCCATCTCCCGACAGCGCGACCACTATACCCCGCGACGGCGCGACCGCGTTCGTCCCGCCGGACCGCGCTGCGTGGGCTCGCGGCCAGCGTGGAGGCGCTCAAGGACTCCATCCAGGGCCTCGACGTGGACGTGGTTCGGCCGCACAGAACATGGCCACCTCGCTGCGCGGACGAATCGCGTCGTGTCCTCTTCCTCCCCCCCCCCCGGCGGCTACGGGTCCAACTGCGGCAACTGCGCGGACCGGTGGCCCTTGCCGGCTGCAACGGCGCTTGGGTCACGACCGGCCTCTGCTGCAAGCGCTTCCCTCATCTTCATCTTTGCCCAAGCTTGGTACTCCCAAAGGTCTACCTTGCCGCTGTCTTCGAGTAGATCGACGCCGTCCAGGTTCGTGTCCCCTTCTTCTCAGTCTGGATCTGGGGTTCAGTCTCGATGGGGTTGTTGCGGCCTTCTCGATTTGGTTAGGTTTTGACTGACATCTCTGTGTTCCCTTTTCCTGAGGCCCTGCAGCTTGCCGGGAACGCCGCCGAGGATCCACATGGTCGTCACCGATAAAGGTCAGCACAGGAAAGCATGGTTGGTAATTATATTTTCAGAAAGGCGCTGGAGGTTGGAAGAAGATTGTAAAATCCTTCGGGAATGATATTTTGTTGGAAAGTGGAGAAATTAACAGAGCTCACTTAGGGCAAATTGTATTTTCGGACCCATCAAAACGTCAGCTTCTAAACCGGTACGCCTTTCACTGATTTCAAATATTTCATCCTTTCACTCTCTGTTTTTATGAATGCAATAGCACGTGTCAATTTTGTTGTATTATGCAGTATCACATGAGTCAACTGTCCACCTATCATTCTTTGTGTAAGTACTAGTGTTGTTGAACTTTACTTGATTTATTTATTGTTACCATTAAACATGAAAACACAAAACATTATCTATGCTATAATGCTGGAGAAAATAAACGTGAGTACACTAAAGATGTTACAATTAATGAATTAACTGTGACACTGGTCTACCCGCTTTTCCTTTGTCCTTGTAGCGTAATTTTTCATGTGTACCGCTTGATGACATGATTCCTTCTTACTGCCATTTTCTGTTATTCTTATTTCTGTTAATGTTTCAGTTAGCTGAAACATTTTATTGTCTGCCAGTATTTACCATTGCTAATAGGAGTTGTCTTGTTTTTAGTTTTGTTACCTACAGTGACCACGCCATTTGGGCATAATGTGGGAGATAGCAAAGCTGTGGATGAAAGGATGCAAGGTTATCATCCTGGACATCCCGCTGCTGTTTGAGATCAAGATGGATCGGTGGACAAATCCAGTAATTGTGGTTTGGGTTAACCCAGAAACCCAGATTCAGAGGCTGATGTCAAGAGACGGGTGCTCTGAAGAACAAGCGCAGAGCAGGGTCAACGCACAACTTGCGTTGGACTGGAAGAAGTCGGAAGCCGACGTAGTGATCGACAGCTCTGGATCACTGGATAACACCAGACAGCAGTCCCGTGAAGTGTTGAGGAAAGTCTCTGAGCCCTTAACATAGAGGCAACCCTTGAGATCTCGAGATGGCCTGATCTCTGTTGTCGTGTGCATGGCAGTGGGCGTTTTACTTGCCTGGAAGAATCTGCTATGATCCTGATGAGGTTTAGGAAGCTATGAACGGTGATGTGTCGTTTTAGAGTAGAGGACGTGCACAATTAAGCTTGTCTGGTGCCTGTGCCACAGGAGGAAATTGAAGGGCTGTGTGTGGAGCTTTGATTGATGAAATATTTTTTTATATGACGCATTGTTTTTGCAGTAGAAATTGCCAAAGTAACACAGTGCGTATATAGGTTGGCCGGAGGTGTCTCTCTGTCCAGTGTACCCTTTTCTTTCTTTCTTTTTTTTTGAGGAAGTGTACTCTTTTACTGGTTGATTTTACTGGACGCAGTGGTTCGATTTACGAAACTGCATTTTGGCCTGTTTACATGTGCCAGATATTCTTTCAAACCTTGTGGATGGGCTGGCAATTACAACTGAGTTCGGCCCATCCATGTGAATATTCTTGTGTTATCTTGTTATTAGGCAAGCGAAGTCTTAGAGATGATAGTTTTTTTGGAAGTTCTTAGCGATGGCAATTGTGCATAAGTTGGAGTTTGTTAACAGACATGGTCTGCTTGAGGATTGGTTTAGATTGCTTCTTAATAAATTACTCCATAAACATAAACGTAGCTGTGATTACTGGCAGAAGCTGTGACCATGAGGTCGTTAACAAGGGCGCTTTCGGAAACAATTTAAAGGAGTTTTGCTGCGTACAGGCAGAAGGTTACCATACCGCCAGTCATGGCTGAAATCACAGCGTCGCTGGTTGTGCAGCGTTCAATCATAGGACTCGTGCCTTCTTCTTACGTTTGGGGAGAAGGGATGGGCAAGGACCGGAGGCATGTCCTGGGCAGGTTGCGCCTCGTCCGGTGCTCCACCGGTCACCACCGTCCGGCGGAGTAGACCTGCATGTCGCCGTCACCGGCCGGGTCGGACGCGGGCGGAAAGGCGCTCCTCGTCCTCTGGTTTGGTGGCACTGGCACGGTGTCCACAACGGCCGCGGGACGGTACGGTGGTTGGTTGCACAAACAAAACCAAACCTTGTCGCAAATCTCGGCGCACGAGATGACATGGCCACGAACCCCAAACACACTGCACTTGCATCGCTGGCCTGCAGTTGCGAGCTCACACAGTCACGCACTCTCTACTGGTCACATCACCTGCTCCAGTTCCGTGTGTTCATCCATCTTGGCTGCTGTAAACAATGTTATTCTTGACCTTGACAACAAATGGAAGGAGAGTGAGAGAGCTAGCCGACAAGGACTTCCGGCATTAGCGACTCATCCTTGGAAATTTAAACTGTTGTTAGCGTCACTGATTGATTGCATTGCTGTATGGTATACCATGTGTTTTGGTCAGAGTCAGATTGGTACGGCCAACCAGGACGATGGCACGGGCAGTAGCTGCCAACGTACGTACATATGTACGGTTGTCAATTGGCAAGCATAGTAACAGCCATGCATGCATGTGACGTGCCAACACAAGGTATCCAACCCATAGGCTTGTGTAGTCTACGTCTATTGTTTTGTCGTTGGCAACCTCGCAACGTCGCAACAGCAAATAAAACATATAAACAAGAATACTCCACTTCCGCTATATTTTGTCGATCATGCTGCAAAAGGTTCAGTGGCGCTTCTTTAAGATAACCAGCAAACCAGTTCCATAAATTATTGATCCATTTCTACTGATTTCAAAAAGCAACAAACGAATTGTGCCGTGCTTGGGTTGTTGCTGCCAACACGGATCGATGATGGGACAAGACAGCCACCTCACCAACATGTGCTCAAAACTCCATCCGGCGTTGGTAGTATGCCTTGCCAGATTGCTGCCGTGCATGAGGTGCATCTCATTCATGGTACCTGCTATTAACAGTACCAACATTTACTCAAGTACCACATCCTTATCGTGCATATAGTTCACCTGAACATGGGTACACGACAATAACTGCCATGGGGCGTTGCACGCCTGTCATCTCATCTCACTCATTGTAGACGCATTGCGCTGGTGATTGTACGCGGCACGTAAATGGACGGTGGCATGTAGCAGCGGACGGTAGATTCTCGTCATGCATGGTCGGTGCCTAATTAGCATGGTGGTCGGCACGCATGCGAGTACGCATGCGTGCGTGCATGGTGCTGGGGCCTTGCTTTGCGTGTATCATGAGCTATCTGTTTGTGTGTGCGCATGCGAGCACGCATGCGTGCATGCTGCTGGGCCCTTGATTGATGACTGATGAGTGAGTTAGATGGCAGTTGCAGTAGCCTACGGCCATTCGTGTGTGTGTGTGTGTATATATATATATATATATATATATATATATATATATATATATATATATACACACACTGGTCATGCATGGTCGGTGCTTAATTAGCATGGTGGTCGGCACGCATGCGAGTACGCGTGCGTGCATGCTGCTGGGGCCTTGCTTGCTTTGCGTGTATGCATGAGCTATCTGTTTGTGTACTCCTCTTGGATTTTGTTTGTGTACTCCTCTTGGATTTGGACAGGCTGCTCTGGTACTATGAATACGCTGATTTTCGTGAGCCTGCTGCCTGCTAGATTGGTGGCGGGTAGGAGAAAAGGGGGAGATGATTGTCACCATGCTCCCGAGCGGTACATGAACTCCGATCTGTTTGCAGATGTCAGGGATGAATGCAGTGCCACGACCTTCTGATGTCTTGGGCTCTTTGGACGGTTTGCAAGAAGTACGTAGGTTCTGCGTCCGGCATCGATTGGATTGTCAGGTTTCTTGCTTCCACAGTTATTCAGTGAGCGTTTGAAAGTTCCTTTCCCTCTCCAACTCCCAGTATCAACGCCCACAGATGTGAGGATTCGAAAATTTTATTCTAAGACAATTTAAACAAGATATGACTTCTTTCACGCAAAGGGCAAGACCAAGTCACCATAACTGAGGCCATGAGTAAGGGCCGATTCATGCCTTCAACTGTGTGCAAATTTGGGCGAAGTATAATGAAAGCGAATGTAGGTTACGAAGCTATTCGTTGGAAGATAAAAATGTTGACAGGCGAGAAGATTGAGCAGATCAGCAAGGACAGTGGACAACCTCCACCAGCTGATCGAGTCAATCCACGATACCAAGTACAAGTTTCCTGTGTTCATTAATCACGGCAGGATGCTTCCGGTGATTCCACAAATATAGCACAAGGTCAGCGCACTAGCTTTTATGGAAATTACAGGAATTATTCTAGAGATATGGAGAAGCAATCCTATTCCTTGCCACGACTGATCAATCACAAGATATTATTAGCCCGGAGGCCAGTTCATTTGCCTGCCTCCGAGGAGATGAACGTGGATGTGGTAAACAGATTGACCTGCAATCGAAGAAACCCACAGGTGGTTAGTACGGAACAGAAGTTGCCGAACAAGGACCAGAGAGTGGTTTACGGGCGTTCAGTCAGTTGCACATACATCCACTTGGGCCGTCGTTGATGACAACCCGATAGCCATCTTCAAGTCCTTCCTGCTTTGCAACAACCTTGGCAACATAGAGGAGGTAGCCAGGTATCTCTACGTGCCTTTCTTCAGCCTATGAAGTGGGAAAATAGGACAAGATGAAATGTATTTCTTTTGGCTTTTGAGGATTACAGATTGTAGACAAGTATACAGTAAAGTGTAACTGATGAGCAGTAAACCCTACCTTTGACAGGCCAGTTAGTCCATCCTTGACTTTGGAGATGATGAGGATGTGCGTTGGAGCTTGAGGGTTTATGTCCCTGAAAGGCAGTACCTGGAACCAAAACATCTGATTGATGCGCTTCATAGATTACGAATACTCATAATCTGTATCAGAAAAAGAACCACATATTGGGCTGAAGGTTTAGCCATTCACACAGCAGTAAACAGCAGAATCCAGCCAAGCACCCAGTTCACTCAGGAACTTGCAATTTAGAAATCTAGTGCACAGTGCCCATTGACAGCATAGAAACTTAGATCCCTATGCTCCTGTAACAAGATAGTTGACAAGAACAGCTACTTGGTAAAAGACCAGGTTCCTTGTTCTCATTCAGATAAACTAATTTTGTATAGAAGTGATGAAGTCTAAAAAGAATATGCAGATCTGATAATTACAGTTTTCGTTTACATAATATGCTTTCTACTTTGAAATGGTAGAACCTCACCAATTTCGGAAGCAGCTTAAATACTAAACAAGACAATGAGACATTGAGCCTTATAAGTTCTAGGCAGCAAGGCTCAGTCAGTCGCCCAGTTTTCTGCTTCACTAACAAAATGTAGTAATCATAATTATCTAGAGATGCGCGCATCATCACGCAGTCCACCTAATAATACAATATTCTTACTGCAACCTGAAACAAGTTTTAAGGGGTTACTTGGCATACACATAACACATAGGTACTAACATTTTTCCAGCATATCAATTCAACATATGGGCACCAACAGCATTTGACCGCTTATTGAGAACAACTCTCTCACAATTTACCGCATCACAATTTCACATGCTTATCAGTTGTCACTTATCAGGAAATTAGTTTCTATAGTACCATGTCCTAAACATAAAGCACGTAATGGAATAGTTGCAGGCAAAGCAACCAACGAATCATCTAATAAGATGTTTTTTCCAACCTAATTGAATATAGAGGAAAACACTACACAATACCTTCTCGTCCTCATAAACCACAGTACAGGGTATTTCCTTTTTGATGATCTTGTCAAATCTGCAGATGCAACAAACATCAGCAACTAATACACTTGCCCGAAGTCTTTCCTGATGATTGTGCACAGTTCAGGTACCTGAACTTTTTCCTTGTCATTTTCAACCCCAAACTTGCTATTGCCAAGCAACCTATCTCAATGATTACAAGCACCATATCTCAGTGTTCATTAAGCTCAGACGGTTTCTTTGTGCATTGCATTAGTTAGTATGAGCTGGCCAATTCAGCAGCCCAAATTTCCCATAGAGAAACTGCTGATCTCAAATGC